GTCGCCGAGCAGCGCATAGTATTTTAATTAATTGATCAATTAGCTGTCGATAAAAAGTGCAGTTTATTAATTCCATCCCTTATATATTCATCTATAATTTATAAATATGCAGGCTATTATTCTAATAATGTAATGAATGAATGAATATATGATAACATGGGCTCGCAATTTCCAACTGGAACTGAAATCTTCCATTAAACTTTTTAATTTCTTCGAGAAACCTATTTTTGTCACTTCCAATCCATTCTGCAAAATTATTCGGGAGCAACATTATTGACAAAGATTGGAATGCATTCAGCACTGAACCCCACACAGCGCATGCCATCGCGTTGTGATAAGTTCCTGAAAAATACGACCCCCCTCCCTAATTCCATCCCCTGATACCACCCTCCCCCTCTCCAGCCTACTAACCCTTTACTAGATTTTCCCAAATTCCTAGCACTTTTTCCAGTTTTTCCGGAATTTCGCGAGAATTTCCCCTACTTTTACCCAAGAATTTTGTCGAGCGGAAAAACAGGTGGGGGGAGGTCGTCAGTATCTAACTACTATTTTCCAACTATCGGGAATAGTAGTTGTACAAGTCTTTGGCAGTACCGCCAACTAGGAGAGGGGCCCTCCCTCGCGGTCAAATACGACCCCTCCCCGTTGTGATTATCACAACGATGGCGTGCCCTGGTCCCACACCTAGGCCCTTTATGCAATCTTATCAAAGCACTGTGAATGTATTTGAATCGTCAAAACCGTTTCCCATGAAATAAAACGAAAAAAGCGACAGCGATTGGGATTCCTGTGTCATTACGCCCACCTGTTCTATGAGACCTCGGCGCTGTTTGGCTTGGGATGGGCACCTCGCACCCTTGCTAGTTCATTGTGCTCGTTTACAATAGCTAATTGAGACTTCTATTAGCACGAGTGAATCTGCAGGCGTTATTCGGCCCACTGGTGAAGAAAAACCAAAAGAAACCAATCCAGCAAGGCCCTGCTTTTTTGCTGTCAACTTTGACGAAACACTGAGAACCTAGAAGAGACATCAATCAAACAGCGACGAGAGCAAAAAAGGCAAAGACGAGCAAGAGCCCCACTTGTCGTACGGTACTTGCATTGTTGTGCGTCTTCCATAAAAAGTGGGCGTGGCCAGTCATAAGTCAGTAGCCTCTTTGGTCCTTACCATGCATTCGCGAACTGTGAAAGTGGTACAGGACCTGCCATCCTTATTCACGGAAGGAATTCTGCCTTCCCAGCTAGTAGTGGAATGTACCTCCTGCTCTGTAGCCCTTACGGATCACCTGATCCATCAGGATCCTTATCATTTTTTACTTTGTCGTAATCAATCACAGCTACTAGAGGTTGAGGGAGGGGTGCTACTGCCAGTGGTCCGAGTAGTATCCTAAGCCGTCCGCGGCCGCAATAAGCGCGCATTCGCTTCGTGGGGGGGGGCTTTTCTGATTCTATGTGATGATTTTGCAGATATCTCTGTAAGGGATCGTCCCATTGATGCTAACAGCTGTGGCAATAGCAGGAGATCGTTAACGGTCGAGCAGGAGCATCGTTAACGGTCGACAAGAGTCTACAGGTCTCATCAAGGTGTAATATGGAATTAAACAGGAACTAGCGAAGAAAAACTAGCGAAAGCGCAAAATGCCCCCCTCAAGCAGAACAGCGCCGCCTATTCTTCCACTTCAACGCACCTGAACAGTACCATTTCTAAGCGATCTCAAGACGTGTCTTCAAAGTGAATTTATTTTCAGAGGCGTATGCAACATCAGAGAATCGGCGTCTACAAGGTCGTTCTCTTGCTGATCTATGGATGTTGCTTCTGGTTCCTTATGAAGCATCTATTGTGGAGCTATGTGTAGGTTCTTTTACTCTTATCCGCTTCCGTTCAATGACTTCGATACTGCTCCTTTAGTACGCGCCTACTCAAACCGTACTATCGGATGGAATACGCCGACCTCTTGGACCGGATAGGTGGGTTCTTCGTTTTCGGGCGCTAAAGTAATTCGAGGTGAGGGCAGTGGACGAGATTAGGCCACTTCCAGTATCTGCTGCGCCCTAGGGCTACGTTCATACTTTGCGGTTCGGCGTTTTGGGAGAATCATCATTCAGAGAGGAACGGCACTTTGAGCGAAAAGGAAGGCATAGGTGTCGATCGGCGCTCACTTCGCCCACACCGCTGATTTGCTAGCAGGATTTTCCCGAAACGCCAGCCTCCGGCATCTATCGATACCAATGCTATCCTTTTTGTTAGAAACGCCGATTCGCTCTAAACGCTAAATCTCCCAAATCGCTAAGACGCGAAGTATGAAGGCAGAATCGCTGGCGCCGGCGAAGCTTGCCGACTACTATTTCGCGGACAGAGCGAGACGAGTAGTGGGTGGGCATGGCCTGGTCTCACTTCCAACAACTTTGACACCTGTAGTGCCCTGAAAGTCTCTCGTTGACGCGTTGAAAATTCTTGTTCTAACCTTTAAAAAACTATTTTCAGAACTCGATTGTGATGGAATACTTCACAATAATCGGAGCGTTGTCCAAGAAGCCAAACTAATGCAGTATAATACGCATGCTGTAGAAAAACTTATATTAGATGCTGATGATAGGTAAATTTATAGTAACTATTTAAGTGAGCGAATTTCAAGGCACGATTATTTGGTACTTGCTCAAATAATAGCAGAGATGCTGACCGGTGAGAAGAAAACGACCAAAAACCTGCGAGAAAAGCTTCTGTTCTCCACTCCATTGGACGAGCATTTTGGACGAGTTTCCTTTGGCATCAACCAATAACCGCTTTGATATTTACGAAAGCACATCCGTGTTCACATACTGTGCAGACCTTCAGGTGGAGAGTCCCCCTTATATCCCTTAAAGGCACATTCCCGCGATAAAATAAGGCTATGACCTCTCAAATGTGTCGGACAATCCGGAAAGCGATTTTTGAGGCTGCGCTACTTTCAAAATGTGAAAACGGCAGAACTCGCTGAGAAGCTGACTAATTAGGCCCATGGACACCCCTTAGGCCCATGCCGACCCTCACCGGCTGCTAGCTACTAGCTAGTAGCCACTATGTTATCTTTCTCTATAACATTTCGGACTGCTTTTTCTGCTGCTTTTCTCCGCTAATCAGATACTTAGCACTTTTTTGTGCCTATTTGAGTTCCGTTTCCCGCAATTTGCGGTCGCGAACTGTGCCTTTAAGGGCCCCTGTACGACCCGCTTTACAACGTATTTGGCGAAATTTTTGCTGTCGAACGGGAAGGAGCTCATAGCCATACGTCGCGGCCACGCCTACTAGCGCTCTCATTGGACTGTTCTCTTATAGGTCCAGAGCAATTGTGCACACATGTATGACCTGAATAGTGTTTTCAATGGAGAAAGGGGATCGTAGTAGCGCTTACCATGGAATACTGCTGTTTTCTGCACAGCGGCGTGCGCCGAATTTTCGGGGCCAACTACAACACCTGATCGTGACCCCCCCCCCCTAGAGAAGCTATCTGAGGTGAGCTATATGTGACAAGGTGGCAAGTTCTTACGTTGCTTGCATTGAAGAGCGAAGGTGTGTGGATAGACAAGAACAAATTGTTGTTCACAACCTGACCCCGAATAATTTCAGGTGTTTTGCAATTCGTAGTCTATTTGGATTCGATCGAAAGCCAGTTTCGCAAGAGAACTCGACTATCCTCTGGCATATGGCTTAATCGTCTACAAAAACGTCGTCCCAGTAAGTTGCCTCTCTTCCACAATACTTCCCCTACGCAGCGTTCAGACTTTAGCAAAACGCGCTGATCGACGCGCGTCATACGGCGAAGTCTGAGCTCTGGATGATGTTTGAGCGCGGATATCCCTCCTCTGAGCTACGTGACCCTATCAGCGGAGGTTACTCTGCATTTGCGTCCTGAAATTGAGCGATGAGGGGCCGAGGCCGTCGTAAACCACAACAACTAAGCCCTTTATGGTTCCACTCAAAGATGAATGCCTTTACGTTCGTTTCTGAGTAGGACCGCCAACATCGATGCCTGTCGTCTCTCCCATCATTCCATTCTCTCACACTTTTTCTCTGGTCTCTCACTCTCGCCCCCATCCCAGTGCTTCAAGCCTTCCTCTTGCGCTACCGGATAAGAAACATATTTTACAAGGAAAATCTTCCTTTTTCAGACTCTTTTCATGCTCAGCTCTTTCTATCGACCTCAGAATGAATACTGTATAGCCGTCAGCGGAGGAGCTGACACGATGTATAAACTTCTCATAGATGAAGTCGATGCATGTTTTGACAATATTCGTTTCAGTGCTAGTGAGTTTTCAAATTAAAGTCTGAATTATAAACCAACAATCATCGCAGTATTGGCCGCGAGCGTGCGCGTTAGCGGCCAGCTCTTCCGTGCCAGACCATTCCAAACCATTGACCCAGAATTCACAATCTGATCAATATATTAACCGCTAATTGTCATTTCCCCTGATTGGAATTGCGCCGTCCCCACGCGGCGACCGCTACGCAACCGCACGCGTCGAAGGCAGCTATTTACTCTTCTGGAAGCCACTAAAACACAGATCGTTCAGCATCGGCCGCGTATAGACTGGGGATCATATGAAATCATCAACTCGACTACTATGCTATGTCTTTGACTTGTTATCAAATATGAGACGACCTTGGAGGTATTTTCAGAAACTATTCAGAATTTATTTATAACAGTTGGGAAAAAACTGAACTCATTCTCTCCAAAAATATTTACTCTCCGAACAGATGGGCGTCGTTAGTGAGCAGTATAAGCATTGTTGTTACTGGAACAATAATGAAGGGGGGGGGGGGTGCTGTCGTGCTGAAGAGGGAGGCGCGGCTTCGAAAGAAATTTGCTGTTTGGAAAAAATTTTTCCCGGTTGTTGGTTCTGTTTTATGTGTATTATATAACTCCCCTCCCCCCCGTCGTTCGACGGAAAATTTTCGGGGGAAAAAAGTGGAAAATGTTGGAAATTTATAGGTAGGTGTTGGGAAAGGGGAGGGGGTCGTACTGAAAACCTCTTTCAAAAGGGAGAGGAGGTCGTACTGACACCACCGTTTCACACATTACCATGCTGTACCTGTTGAGTGGTGGTATCCGCGCGGGCGGATAATACTGAATGATTGCACCTGTGGAAGATTACATGGCGCGACCACATTGCCACATGCATGTCCTGACAGGTCGGGCAACGCGTTTCCCAGGCTCCGCCGCGTGCCCCCCCCCAACTACCTTTGCCTGAGTTATTTCTCAACCATGACGCCCCCCCCCCAATGATCATTCACGGGAATCCAGAAGAATGGTGATCCGGACGAGTTTTCTCACGTGAAATATTGTCGCATGACGCGTTAGAACACGTCAGCAGCAGTGTGATCACGACATGTGGTCTACAACCGCACATGCGACCGCGACGCACTCCAAACCACGCCCACCAAGTAGCACTACAGTTGAAATGGAGAGACCACATGTATTTCAGTATCTCTCCTGGAGTGGACATTCCTCTCAAAACTAATTACGAAATGGTTGAAATTTTCCATGCGTGGAATGACACGGTAAACGCTGAATTTACACATTTTCAACGGCAACGAGTTCGCAGTAAGAGGGTGAGTAATGTAGTGAATTAGATGTACTAGAACTTGCTGAAACGTTCTCTTTCATAGATAGAGGCCGCACCACTCCCACTCTTCAAGTCCTCACTCTCAGCTACAGTGCCCAGGAAGGCCGTGGACTGGATAGTTCAGGTAAATTCTCGGTTATGCTTAGCAATTCATCAGCGAGGCTTCTTGGCTGCATTACCCAGCTGCGAGGGAAATAACGTTCTCGAAACAGAGCGGAGAACAAGGGTGGTAGAGAACACCATCGTGGGCGGGGGTCGAGCGACGCTGAGCAGCCGAAAAGGGGTATGTGACAAGAGAATCATGATTCACCGAGCGTCGCGTGCGACGTCGCACCGCAAATGAAGACGGTTTCTAGTGATAAGAGGCAATTCAGACCGAAAAGAGTCATGAATGTCTACGATGATGGGGTCTACATGAAGTCCGGTGCTCTAATCGACAGGTTAACACGAGTTAAGAAAACGCGCGCCCATCGCCGCGCGCGGCGGAGCGGCAAATTACGATTCTCTTGCCCGTTTTCCGCTGAAAAGCATGTTCTACATGAACAGCGGACCGCGACTTCCTCGAGTATAATACTGAAGGCTTGTCACGCCAGATCCACTCGTAATCAGTGGCGCGGAAAAACTACTCATTCAAGCCCTTTGCGTGAGACTCCGGTTACCGAGCCTTCTTTCCATTAAAGATAAACGAACCCAGATGAGGAGAGCGCAGCCGTACTGTCTCCGCCCCTGGCGATCGCGGCAATGTGCCTCTTCAGTCTTAGGGCATTCTGCATCCATAGTCCTCCTTATTTACATGAGCTCAGAACCCGTTATCTGCTGAAGTTTTTCGTAGACACCTCCATTACCATGTGATGAGAGGCTTCGGGCCCAACTCTTTCGGAATTATCGGGGAGTTGAGTTCCAATCATGTACTCCAGTAATAAAGAAACTGACTGGATATTTTTCAGACCCTCCCTAATACCCGGCCCCGGTTACAGATGCCGACTCAGTGGATTGGAACTATCGCAGACAGTACCGCAAAAATCATAGGCAAGAGTGGCAAATTTTCCAAAATGAATTCTGCTTGGGATGACGGTTACGTATCTGTCACGATATCAACTGTGGGACAGCAAACGATGCCATGGTGAGTTCAATCACTGAAATGAATTCTTCCAGCGCTTTCACCACTATACGACCGAAGAAGGCCTCAAAAATCCCATATCATCAAAAAATTTCGGTCTGTTTGTTCTGAGTAGACTCTAGTCGGATCGGTAGATAATAAGGTGACGCTGTTGTCGTAACAATTCAGGGCGCATTTCGGCGACGGGGGGCATTCTGCACTTTTGCTATCTCCCGTCGACGTGTCGACCCATCTAGAGAGCATTTCCTTAAGTTAACAGGTTCTACCATGGTAGCTCTGCTCCATAAGAGTTCACAGGTTCAACCAGAGTGAGACCTGTAAAAGGGAACTAGTGAAGCAGCGAAACTGCAGGATCCCCCCCCCCCTCCGTCGGTTTATGGATTATATCATGATGAAGCCAGGAACTCCGAGGATGTAGCTTCCCTGGGACTCTTCTGCGAACCCTAATTCTGAGCCCAAGTCTGGCAGGCTGAGCGCAAAAAACGTGAGTAGTAGTGATTTTATCACAATAGCCAATCGCGAAGTACAGCAGTAAGATTGTCACCAAATCATGCTCCCCCCACTTCTTGGCCTAGGGTGAGCACTTCTAGCTGGAGCGGTGTACGGTAAGATACTGTAGAAATACTGCAGAGATTACCTAGCATCACCCAAGGCCTCATGCCAAGTCATGCCGCAGGCAGGAGATGCTAGGTGATCTATGCCGTATGTCTACACCACTCCAGCTGAAGTCCTCCCACCCCTTGGCCCGTTGTAACCCGATAGATCAGCCCACGTAATCGCATGCGATCCCTCCGGTGTACAGTAGTGCGTTCAGAAATAGACATTTCCACGGATTAAGTTGTGAGCGCGGCCATGGCTCAGAGAGTCTAGACCTGAAAGTCCAAAAAGGTAGCTAGAAGCGCGCTCACTGTGCTCACGACTAGACCTGTAGAAACGCCCCTTTCTTCGCGCAGATATGAACTGTACGGTCCGGCAAATGGTGTAATCCAGGGTTCGCTCGCAAGGCTAAGACAAGTTACGCAAAGAGTGGGTCATTTCAGGGTAAATGATCAGGCGCTCTTTCAAAGTGACCCAAGAGGCAGGTTTTTTTTCAGGTAAAATGTCGTCTGGATCATGTGTTTTTGGTGTCGGCGACTTAGCAAACGTTCTACAGCAACCACATCTCGTCGCTCACAAGCTCTACATCGACTTCGAGCCAGCCGCATATTTTTGTGGATTGAAGGTAATGACTTAGGCTAGCGTAGCGCAGTGACACGAGGTGCCGTTCAAGGCTATTTTGATCCAAAAAGAACTGAACTCGCGAGCCGTTTCAGTGCAAAGAAAGGCTCTCAACCAGAGCACTTATAGCCGTTTTCGCTGCAAATGCTGGGCGTGTCTCTGGAATAAGTATGGCGCCACCCCCTCCCCCCCCCCTTCTGACCATGCCCCAGTATTCTGTAGTGAGGACCGCGTTACCATATACGACCAATTAACCATTTCAGGCTATACGTTTACGAGAAGGCA